ATTATTTCTTTGATACAGTTCCCATGTCTTGATGACCAGATCTGTTACCTGATATAAGCCATCTACAGCTAGCCATGGTTTAATATCGTCCACTAGGGAGTCCGGCCAGAGTGAGTACAGGCATGTCAGTGCTGGATAATTGGGCACACCATGGCCTTGGGTAAGAGGTTAACTACATTTTCATGTTTCCTCTACCCATATCTCTCTAAGGTCAAACCTTTATTATCTGTCTTAGCCAAATCAGCAGGTGTGTACTCAGGGTTGAACCTGGATAGACTTGCCTGAGGAAGGAGGGTTTGGATTGTCACGGCTCTAGCTTGTTTGGTCTACTAGTCTGTTACCTTGAGTCACCTCTGAGGTTCCTGTCTGGTGCCCGGGGCAGTGCATTACCACTCCTTGTTGGGGAAGCAGCACTGCTTCAAGTAAAGTCCCAGGATTTCCAGCCCCAGGTTGAGTTCTTTCTCTGCAGTGATCAGCAGACCCCCCCCCCCTTTCCAGAGAGCTGCGTGTGCTGAATTGCCAAAAACCAGAATCGAGACTCTGTGAAAATATTTACCATCTTTCCAGCTGAGAATTGCAAAGCTTGGACAAGAGCCACTAGCTCCACCTTCTGTGCTGAGGTTCCAGGGCTCACGGCAGCAGCTTCTGTTGTGGCTTGAGTGGTCACCACTGCATATCCTGCTCTCTGAGCTCTTATTTTCTATGAAGCTGCCTTTGCTGACATACAGAATCTAGTCTGGATCTAGCCATGGCTGGTCTTACAAATCAGGATGGCTCAAGAACATCTGTTCAATGGTTTCCACTCAATGGCGTAGGAGTGTTCCCGAACTGCGCTCAGGGAGTAATCATAGAATTAAGACCTGAAATAACTTTGAGAGTCACATTAGGGTTTCTAACAAGGTTGGCTGGTATTTTCTCATCCTTCCTGCAGTTAGTCACACACTTCCTTTCTGGATAAGCGAAATCTCCACTTGATCAGTTACATAGAAGGTGATAGGCTGACCCAGACTCAATTTTTCAGCTTCTGTCAACAGGTCAAAAGTTCTCAGGCATAAGGGGACATCCTTGTGTGGTCTTGTCTAATTGATGTGCTTTACCTAATTGGAGAGAGATGCTGGCCTGGCCAGGTACTCCCTCGGCCCAGATGGTTGAGTCCACCTGATTTTCTAATTCCTGAGGCCAATCGTCTAACTCTCCTCCTCTGGGTTCCTTCTGGAGGAGTTGCTAGCCATGTTCATGCGGCACTTTGAGACACAGTTGTCGGGCCTGACAGGGAAGTAGTCATGTTTGAAGAGCAGGTCCCTCCCAAGGAGGGGATTAGGATTGTCTGGCCACAGAAATTTGTGAATAAACTTCTCTCCAACGCACTCTAGTGGCTGAACAGAGAACTGATCCTTAGCTCAGTGGTGGCCACCATCTGGCTAGTGTGAGAAACCTGAGGTTGGTTAAGGGCTGAGAAGTTGCTAAAAAGTACACATTCTTACTCTGTAGTTATTTTTACCAGGGGTGCCTGATGGGTGAAGGCAAGAGGCCCATGGCTCAAACCAACATCTTGGTGAACAAAGATGCCAGCCTCTACTGTTCTGCTGTCTCTTTGGACACAAATTTTTCCAATGGCCTGACTTCTTACATGTGAAATTTTGCTCCCGTCCTGGTCCTTAGCCCTGCCCTTCCTACCTGTTGAAGCAGGACTAACACATTCTGAGCAGTGTGGGTCTTCTGTGTCTCCCTGTCATTATATACTTTGAAAGCAATATTTACCAACTGGCACCTTTAACAAAGGACACGAACAACTAATTTCTTAGGAACTGAACTTCTGACAACAGGAGAGAATTTCTTCTAAATTGCCTTTGGTTGCTGATATTCCTTAACAGGCTGTATGAAAAATGGGACTGATGTATTTATTATTTCACTGTTGGATTTGTTTTGTAGAAGTAACAGGTGGGATGGAAAAAATCTATATGGAATATCTTGACTTTTATGACTGGTATAAAAAAACCTTAAGGCTTAGTTTCTTCCTGAAGATGATGAGATATGGAGGTGTTATCTGTACCTCCCAAGGTCAGAGACCTTGGGTCATTGATGGTTTCAGAGAATGGAGATAAACCAAGCAAGAGGGGGTGGGGGGGCCTGGAGGCTGGATTAAGCATGGTCTTGCCTTCCCACACTCATTGGGGAACACAATTCTGTTCTAGTCTCCCTTGGGGGCTATGCCCCTCAAAGAGGTGTGTTTCAAATGAAGGACTGCCAAGCATGATGTAGGTCCAACCACTATTTTCTGCTTCTGAAAGTGGAACTTGCCAACTCACTGATCTGATCCCTTTGCTGTGACAGAACACATCTCTTACTTGTTACCAACTACCCCACCAGGGCTGACTGTCAGGCTTAGATACCTTCATCACAGCCAAGGGCAGATGCGTGGTCCTGTCTAAAGCCAGAGAGAGGGCCAAGGACAAATATAATGAGGATGAAGTAGGTGATGGAACTCCCACAACAGAAGCTCTACTGGCTCAGGAGCCCAGCATCAAGGTAGGAAGAGAACACTGAACTGTGCACCCGGAATCTATTCTTTATGGACTTAAGCATAGAACATCTTGACAAGTGACTTGAGAAAAATAAATCTTGCAGGAAACTAGATGAAAACCCTCTGCTTTTCTGGAGCAATTGTTTTCAGGCTTCCAGAGATACACAATATTGTACCAGAATCACAAAATGCTCTCCTTATTAGCATGACCTTTAACACCCATGCAATGAAAGCTATAGAAGGTAGCAAAAAGCCTCATCTTTCTTCCTAGGGAAGTTGGTGGATTTAAACTGATGGCCTTTTGGTTAGAATTGGACCAATACCTCACACCTTATCCCAAAATGAAATGAAAAAGGAACCAACGAGCTAAATATAAGAACTCAAGTTCAAACTCACTGTCCTTGAGTCAATTCTTTTTACAGGCACCCGATAGACTGCCTCTGTAGGTTCCCAAGGATGCAAATATTTATGGGAGCAGACGGATTTTCTCTGGCAAAGCAAATGATAAGTTCTATCTGCGGACCTTGTGATGAGCAGCCCATCAGAGCCCTGCGGCATAGTAGTCAGCAGTTTGAAACCACCAGCCATTTAGTCTTAGACACTCACAGGGGCAGTTCTTCCTCGTCCTAGGTGGTCACGAGTTGACATTGACCGGAGGATGTGAGTTTAAAAAAACCATTTTTTTTTTTTACATCTCATAAATACTAATAGAGGAATATTGAAACTTCCAAGTGCAATAGAATTTTCGTTTCTTCCTGTAGTTTCTTCTGTCAGCTATGTACTTTGATAATGTGGTTAGCCATACAAACATTAATGAATGTTAGTCTTTTGGAGAACTGGTTCCTTTATCACGATGTACATCTTTTTCCCTGATCCTTTCTCTTGCTTAAAATTACTATTACTAGTTTTCTTTTGATGTTACTTTTCTTCATTCCTTTATCTGTGCTTGATATTTAAGGTTTATTTCTTATAGACAAAATGCAGTTGGATCTTGTTTTTTAATTGGTACATTTAGAGCTGTTTGTAGTGATTTCTCTTTGTTCGGTTTCTGCCTTCTCTGGCTTTGAGCCTTTATGATTCTATCCCATTTTCTCTCCTTATGCTTTAAAAATGTTTCAGTGGTTTTCCCTAGTTTACAATATATTTAACTTCAACTAATATGGCATACCAATTATGTACATACAAACTATGTACAACTTCATGGGAAGTTTTAAAAAAATACTTTTATTACTAGTTGTCCTTTTACAGTGCTTCCCAAGGTTTCCATAACACAACATACAAAAGTCCTGTAATAACAGAACTTTTATTATTGTAGTCGTTTCATCTTATCCCCAGAACTTGTGTTAGTATGGTCATGAGGCTCTAAAATCCTCTCTCCTAGCCAGCTGGGAGCTAGTTGGGATTTATGGAATAACTACTCAAGACAAGATGGAGTGAAAAGCTTGAGAGAAAAGGCCCCTCTACAGTTTTGCCACTTGCTGATGATATTAAAACGCCGAAGGAGGAAACTTAGAAAGTTTCAAACTCAGGAAAAATACTAGGGCTCTTCAGGCTCAGGATGTTCTCAAAACATCAAAACATTCCCCAACATAAACACGTTCTGAACTAAAGGAATCTTTCCACTCAGCATTTCCACCAAATTCTTGGCACAAACGGTCACACACACACATTCAAGGTTTAATTAGTCGTTGCAGCACCCAAGTAACCCTTCCAGGGGGGTCAGGGCAATGTTTCCCTGCACCAGGGCTCCCATTAATCCTGATATCTTAAATCCCCAGTCTGGTATTTCCAACATGGATCTGAGCCTTGTTCTGGGCCTTATCCTGTTTGTTCAAGCTATGGTTTTTGTTATTTCCGCTTACGTTCCTAAAGTGAAGCCAGAAAAACACCCAGTGTAGGAAGTGACAGAGATTTCAAGTTTATCTTGTAGACTTGTGTCTTGGTTTCTTTAACTGACGCCTAAAGAGGAAAATCACTCAAGGATGGGTGGGGACAAGGAAACATAAGACAAATGGTCATACCTGTTGACAGCCAAGTCTTACCACTTCTTTTGAAGCAAAAAAAAAAAAAATCACATTCATTACATAGGCATCGATCCAAATTGTTCAGGGAGACGGAAAAGCAAAACAACCTGACTTGCTCGGGAATTTCCTTTACCTATAGGGTTGCCATGAGCTGGAACTGACTCACTGGCAGCAAGTTACAATTTGGTTTCCCATCAATAAGAAAGTATATGTGCAAAGCATTCCTTAGTTTGCAGAGCTGCCTACCTGGACCCAATCATAAGCTCTTTTTGAGGTGCACTCGTTCTCAGGTAAGAGTCCAAGTCTCTTGAACTGAAGGACTGAGATGCACAAGTTATATCCCCTGCCAGGTCAAGCACAACTATGCAGAAACTCATTTATGCAGAAAACAGAAAAAAATCACAAAATCCAGCAGAATAAAAGCACAGAATATGGTAAAGAAGTGAATATATATTTTATTGTTTCCCAGTAAGTGGACTAGGAACAGGTGGTGCTAAATGTTAAGTTACAATTCAAATATCACCAGCAATTATGATACATCTTGAGTACTTTCCGAGATCAGCTTCCATTATCTTGATCGCTAAATGGAAAGGTTCTTCAGAAGAGTCCCTCACCCTACATACAGAGGAAGATAAATTAAGACAAGGATGCCACAGTAAAATATTTTAAAGTTAATGCAATATATACATCACTGACATGTAAAAAACACAAATGATTTTGTAGTGAACACTTCTTTACTCCATCTAGGAGGAGCAATGATTAAAATTCATACTAAATGCATTACGCTGGAAACTAAGTTACTAAGAGAATAAATATTAGGAAGTCCATTTCCCTGTTTGTAACTAAAGGAGGGGAACTATATAATTGACTATTCCCTTTATCTCTTTCTACACGCGCCCCACCCAACATTTAAAATGGCATTTTTAATTGACTAGCCTAAATCTTAACAGGAATCCTTAATTTCACTTCAAGGATTGTATTTTTAATTGACATATATAGTTCTGCTTAGAAAAATGATGATAAAGTAGATATAAGGCACAGCAAGGAGAGCGCAAACATGAAGCCATCCGAGAACACTCCATTTCACTAACTCTGCAACATACCGTAAAGTGGTCACAACAGCCTGTGTGTTGGTGAGGAAAAAAGTGGTAATTACTATGGCATATAAACTTAACATTTCATTGTTTTAAAACATGGCATCATTTTGAGAAAGCGGCTGAATGAAATGAGATAGCCATGGGAAAGTAAAGAAACAGGACATTACTAGTAAGGGTTTAAAGGGAAAAACAAATACAGAGGGGGTCTTTAAATTTACAACATGATGCTTTCCTCAAAGCCTGACATTTCCTATTGAATTTCTGAGAACCTGTAAGGATAGTCTATCTAAAGAACGGGTCCGAACTGTACATGCTTTGAAAATTGTTTTATTGAACATGTTTTTTAACCTCAACTATTCCCATTTGGCATAGTAGTAATTTGGTGGGCTGCTAACCGCAAGGTCAGCAGTTCGAAAACACCAGCCACTCCCCAAAGGCGAAAGTCGAGGCTTTCTACTCTACTACACTTAGTCTCGGAACCCCACACGGGCAGTTTAAACCTGTTCCAGAGGGTTGTTATGAGTTATAATGGACTTTCTGGCAGGGAATTTAGGGGTTTTAAAAAATTCCTTTAACTATAGGGTGGGGTGGGGTGTGGAAAAGACACTTTGAGGGCTATCCCCTAAATAAACTTTTTATGAGTCCTCAAGCCCAATAATCATTTTATACGAGGATGATTCAAATAGCAGTTCCTGGAAATTTTTCATTATCTTTCATTTTCACCTAAACTTATTGAAGCTCCCTAGCATAAGTTTTGCATGTGCGCATGCGCATGCAAAACAGAACCTTCACAAGATACTTGCCTTTGAAAAATGAATGCAGATTTGTTAATCTCACTTCAATCTAACAGGTCTTGCAGAGTCCCAAATTTAGACTTCAACAAAATTACTATTTTAATAATTATGGCCTATAGGGGTCCTTTCTAACACAAACTTGGGAATACCAAAGATCTAGACTGTCTTCCCCGATTCCCTTCAGGAAAACTGACAATAGCGGCCAACTTATGGTAAGCCTGTGCCGAACACATTTGTTACAAGTGTTACTAAAGGGTAAGCCAAGTTACCTAGCTGAAGACTACTTATCTTACCATCCGAGTCCTTTATATCCCTAAATTTGACCGCTATTTAAGGTGGAAAAGGCAAGGAAGCATGATAAATGAGCACTTTACAAATGAACACCACAAAAGCACTACTATTCTAAGTACCAAACATCAATGAAACCCAAATCATAATGCTGAAAATGAAAAAAATTAAGACAAAACTTAAATGGATTTCTTTAAAAATTTTTTTAATCTTTTATAGGACAGAAACCTTAGCTCATGTCTTCTGGTTGCCATCATCTTCCACTGAGCTGCACCTAAAACACAAAGAACAAGTAACAAGCAACTTTGTTTTTTAAAGAATATCTAATTGCTTTGAAGGCTTAAGATGAACTGTTACTAGTGGATATTAATTTACTTAATTATAAAAAATGAAGCCGTGAAATCACCAGTAGCATCACAAAGGGACTATTTCAAGTGACAATACCTCCAAGAGATTCAAATATGCAGCATAGTAATCACCAAATAACGGTGGGAAAGCCATCCATTTCATTCAGGTGAAAGGCTGCACTTGTGACGCCTTATTTAAAAGGCTTCAATCTGCCTGAAGAGGACAATCACCTGGAATGTATTTTAGTAAGTCTAAACCAAGAGGCAGGAGAAAGATGAGGCTTTCTGTTCTCTTAAGAGATTTATAGCCTCAGAAACCCAAAGCAGCCGTTCTACTCTGCCCTATGTGGTTTCTATGAGCCTGAATCGACTCAAAGACAGTGAGTCAATTAGTCAAACCATGAGGAGACGGGTTGTAGATGCACAGTTGGCACATTATCTCATCTATCACCTTCCTGGCTGTAGTTCATGTCTTTAAATGGAACAAAACCCACCAGAAGAATGCTGCTATTTTGATTTTCCACTCTTGAATGCACCAAAATGTGCATGCTTGTTGTAATTAGGTGCCTGGGTGAATAAAAAAATCCCATTTACAATGAAAAAGTATGATTTAAGATCTCTCAAATCTGCTATTTTTCACATTCCTCGGGGAAGCAAGCATTAGAAAGGATCACATACATGTTCAAAAAATTCTCTTCTATCATGTTAAGAACACTAATTTCTTCGTGTTACATAACTAAGCTGAGTTACATCATTTTGTTTTAGATTGTTGCTAAATGTTTATCTACACATGCTGTCAGAAATAACCTTGTAAAGAAGGTGAAGCTGGTGTCTCAGCAAATCAGACCCCTTGGAGAAGGCGTTGAATGGCCTGTGCCCCGTTTTCCTTTTTCTCTTTCCGCACCAACAAAAGGAAAAGTGAGAAAATAGCAGAAACATTAGTTAAATCCTGAATTATACCCCATAACCTACAGGAATAATCTCACTACACTGAAACTATTTGCAGGATTTTTTTTTTGATGCTACAATTAGGATCATAATTACTAATAAAATGTTAAAATTTTGCTAGCTTTATATCTTTAACAAGTAATACTTTTATTATTAACGAATTAAAGAAAAAAAAGTTGCTTTTAACTATTACGGTTTACCTGACTTACCAGCACAGAAGACAAAATCTTTTAAAAATGGCTACAAATGCCTTGTTCACAAAAGACTTTATTATCTAATGATGCATCCTGAAAACATACAGAAATCTGCATGGTCCACCTTACATGCAGCAGAGCAATCTTCACTTTACAATAAGTGAGTGTCAACTGTTTTATGCAATAGACAATGCCTTAAAGTCACATTCTTAAAGAAAAGCTTCATTTACAAAAGAAATAAAAGGTAAAGAAGCAATTACCGCTTTTAAAAAGCAGCTGCTTTGCTCAAGAGTGGAAGGTTTATGCCTGTATTGAAAGACAACATGATCACAAATAATGAAAACAATGAACAAATGAAAAACACTTTTACCATAAAGCAGTACACTTCCAAAATGACATACAAATAGTTAAAAATTTCATTGTTTTCTAAGCTTTAAATATGAGGACTTTCAGTAGGCCTCGACATCTGTAATCAATAAATGAAACTATGCCTTGTTTCTATGTCACTAAGAACTTGTATTTATTTATTTAACAAAATGTATATAAAGTTTATAGCAAGTTGATTTAAAAAAATTAAAGTTATTAAGAAACAGTACACTGAAGGCGCTCTATCCATCAAGAGCATACTCTTCAAAATTTAAATGTGATGAACACAACAGAAATTGTAACTAAGCCACAGTTGCAAATGCCAAAAAAAACCAAAAACAAAAATCAATAATCAGTAATCACACATGCAGGGAATTCCGCCGCAAAGCTAATATCCCTCCATTTGCCGATTGTTCCAATAAAATAACATCTTAAAACACCAGTTATGTTGATGGTTTAGCTTACCTTCAGTGTACTGAATGTTGTACACAACCTGCTTTAAAAGAGGAGACCATCCCTGCAGGCAGGCAGGCTCAAGAAGGAACAGACCCCTTTCGGCACTGACTACACCAAGGGCATGCTGCTGTGGCCTGCACACACACACCTAGGAAAACGTGAATATAAACAGCATTTATGCTGGCCATTTACTTTGAAGACCAAATTGAAGCCAAATCTGCTAAAAACAAGTCAACCACCCAGTATAACTACTCATTTGATAACAGATGCTTTGTCTTCATGTGAACTGCAGTCATATACATTAGCACTGTAATTCTGTGCAGTCTGGGCAATTAAAACAGCTCTACAGTGAGAATTCACATAAGACACAAACAGATTAACTAACACTTCTAGAAGAAATATCACCCTTGGTGTTAATTCAAATATATCATGCCTCCTCAAATTTGCTGGAGAAGTATTTATAAGTTTATATACATTAATAGACTGCTGTGAAATTTCTTCAGTCTCTTGTATTATTTACTCAAACCCTTAGAGCTTCTTCATCTCGTTTAAATTTTTTCCTGAATGAAGGCATGCTGTAGGGCCTGGTTGATGCTAATTCGTTTAGCTGGGTCCAACATTAAGATCTGGTCTAACAAGTCCTTTAGCTGGTGCACTTTTTTACGTTGATCTTCTGGAAGCCGCTGGCACCCAATCAAATCAGCCAATAGGTCCTTAGTCGGATTTATGGTGCTCATGACAGTAACTTTCTCCTAAAAATAATTTTTAAAATGCTTAATTCTTAAGACATTAAACACATGAAACTCTAAATCAGACTATTTTGTATTTAAGATTAAACATTTACATGATTTCCTGTGTCATCTTTTTAAAAAGTGGAAAAGACTAAATGAAAAACAACAACAACAACCTCCTTTAGCTTTAATCATTTAAAAAAATATTACTCTGGTGAGATTTACACAGCAGAACACACCAATTCGTTATTTTCTAAAATAGTTTTTTAAAAGATGGTTCTATAACATAATTTTGTATAAGGATCACATACACAATTTTATATATTGCGATATATTAAAAAGGTAAAATATTTAAAAACTAATTAGCAGTAGCCATTTGCTGTATTAATAGATCTTGTCCTGAATGAGACTGTAATCTAAGTTATGAGACAGATGTATGTGTAAAGGAACAATATAATGAGTTAATTTCTTTTTTGTCATTGTTACTGTTTTATTTTCTTTTCATACTTTGTTTTGCTTTGTCTTGTTTTTTGTGCCTATTGTTATCGCTACATGTCTATCTACATAAGATAGATGGGATAAACAATCCGGAGGAGAAAATGGCACTGAAGATTCTGGGAGGACATGGGAGAGGGGGAAAGGAAGTGGGTGTTAGCAAACCCAGGTACGAGGGACCTACAATCGAAGGCAAGGACGGTGTAGGAAGCCTGATGGGGCTTGATCAAAGGCAATGTAGCCCAGGGGAATTATTGAAACCCAAATGAAGGCTGAACATGATAGTGGGACAAGAGGAAATTAAAAGGAAATAGAGGAAAGAATGAGGAGGCAAAAGGCATGTATAGAGGTCTAAATACAGGCATGCACATATGTAAATATATTTACATCTGACAATGGGGAAAGGGATCTATGTGCATATATTTATAGGTTTAGTACTAAGGTAACAGATGGACATTGGGCCTCCACTCAAGTACTCCCTCAATGCAAGAACACTTTGTTCTATAAACTGGCGTTTCATGATGCTCACCTTCCCAGCACGATTGCTCAAGACAAAATGGGTGCAAAAACAAATGTAGTGAAGAAAGCTGACGTTGCCTGGCTATCAAAAGATAGCATCTGGGGTCCTAAAGGCTTAAAGACAAACAAGCAGCCATCTAGCTAAGGAGCAGCAAAGCCCACATGGAAGCACACCAGCCTGTGTGATCATGACGTGTTGAAGGGCTCAGGTATGAGGCATCAAAGACCCAAAACAAAAAATCATGTCATTGTGAATGGAGGGGAGTGAGGAGTGGAAACCCAAAACCCATCTGTAGGCAGTTGGACATCCCCTTACAAAAGAGGGTGGTGGGGAGGAGATGGGCCAGCCAGGGTGCAGTATAGTACTGATGAAACATACAGCTTTCCTCTAGTTCTTTAATGCTTCCTCCCCCCCAGTATCATGACCCCAATTCTACCTTACAAATCTGGCTAAACCAGAGCATGTACACTAGCACAGATAAGAGTTGGAAACACAGGGAATCCAGGACACATAAACCCCTCAGGACCAATAATGAGTAGTGATATCAGGATTTAAGGGGAAGGTGGGGGGAGAAAGAGGAAACCGATCACAATGATCTATCTATAACCCCCTCCCAGAGGGATGGACAACAGAAAAGTGGGTAAAGGGAGACACTGACTGGTCAGTATAAGACATGAAAGAAAAACAAAATTATCAAGGGTTCATTAGAGAGAGGGAAGGGGGAAAATGAGGAGCTCAAGTAGAAAGAAAATGTTTTAAAAATGATGTTGGCAACAAGGCAACAAATGTACAAATGTGCTTGACACAATGATTGGATATATGAATTGTGATAAGAGTTGTATGAGCCCCTAATAAAATGATTATAAAAAAAAATTATGGAACATATATATAAACATGCTTGATGCAAGTGATTTATGGATTGTTATAAGAGTTGTAAGAGCCCCCAATAAAATTATCTTAAAAAAAGAATAAATTAAAAAAATATGGATCTCATATTAACAAAAATATGAATTTAAATTTAAATTCTATTTCCTAGTTAAATGTATGATTTGGGACAATTAAGGCCTTTTTGAGGTTGAGTATTTTCAACTAGAAATTCAATATTCCCTCAAATTATGGAGTTTAATACTTATCAAATAAATGCATAGAAGTGAAAATGAAATTCATTGACAACTTATGCAATAATGTAGTTACCTGTGTGTGTATGTGTATATATATATATAGATATATATGTATACACACACAGATATATATATATATATATATATATATATATATATATAAATAAAATGAGTTTAAGTATTCTGACAAAGTTAGGAAGCCACAAAATAGGGCAAAACAAAGAAGTCATAACTTCATCTTGTAGGTTTTAGAAAGGTTTCGTAAAGAACGTGTTATTCAGATAGGCTGATGAGGGTGAGTAGATTTGAAAAAAGAAATAAGAGTACACTGATGAGAAAACTTGTTTCTGAAAAGGGCAGAATTCCTATCATGGAAGACTTACTCTGAAAAATTTGTAATATGGAATAAAGGAAGCGTGTTCACAAACGATAACAGGTTTCTAGAAAGGTCATATTGGTATTAGCACTAAAGGTGGTAGGAGCAAAACACAGCTGACTAGGGCTGAAATATTATCTCCAATAAAAATTAAACTAGAAAAGCATCAAAAATATTTTTTCATATGATATGTTGATCAATAAGAATAGGCCAAGAGCTGAAAAAGTTTTTTGGTTTTTAAATTATTGTGAACTGGGTGAGGGTTTACAGAACAAGTCAGTTTTCCATACAATAATTCATACACATTTTGTTCTCTCTTTAACTGTAATTTCCAGAATGAAACTTCTCTTACCATTTTCTACCTATCTTTCCTGTTCCCATTCCTTTTTCTTTCTTAACCCTTCTATAAACTTTGATCCTGGGCAAATGTTGCCCTTTTGATCTCAAATGCTTGATTATTCCACGGTAAGTGTGCCTCCTCTTATGGAGGAAAAAAAAAAAGATTTAAGATTTAAGATGTTTTATCTTTTATTAAATATGCATGCCAAGCTCCTAGTACTTTATCAATTCATTAAAAATATAATGTAGTACAATTAAAAGACTTACCCTTTCTGTTACTTTATCAACTTCTATGTACATGAAATTAAGATTTTGATCAAAATGTTGGTCTTTGAAAACGCCTTTCCGAATCATCTAAGAGGGAAAAAAAATCTTGGGTTCTGAACAATTATGAAACAATCTGGCCTAAAAAAATTAAATACATAACAAGTCATACTGACTATATATTTAGTCTTTCTGAGTGTCTTCTCATTTGGAAATGATCTTGGATTCCCTTGCTAGAGAGTAAGAAACTTGAATATTAACACTGAATGTAAACATTGACCCTCAATTACATAATATGAAATTACATTTTCTAAAGCAGTGAGTTTTTAATTCAATGAACAGTTTCAGTTGTGGTTTCATAATTTAAATTTGGAATGAAGTAACAGCTTAAATACCATTCTTTCTGACCACTATGCACTTCCTTACACTTAAATATCCTGGATCTGCACCTTTTTCATTCTATTGTCCTGACATATTTGGTAATCTTAACCAATCAGTTTGTACCTCGAGCAAGTTGTGGAATCTCTGCCATCACTGAACCATTAAAGATCAGACAATAAATGGGAAAACGTCAGCGATAAGGAAACCGTCATAGAGATGATGTCACACATGCATGCTATCCAATTCTCTCCTACATCACTAGCCACTACCAATTCAAGAGTTAAAAAAA